TCTGTCTCTCGTTTATATAACTGCTATCGTCTTATAGGAGAAGAATCTAATCCACAAACTGTTCAAAGTCTTAGTCCCGCGTTATATGCGTTACAGCGAGTCGTTTACAGCAATGCATTTATTGCCACTCGAGACCAGTAGGACACTGAACACCGGTACCCGACAGGAGGGTAAGTCACCCGATCTGAACCAGGAGGCCATACTAGAACTCAGAGGTACGATAACTATTATAATCCTATTTTGTAATTGTTGTATAATTTTACGGTTTTATTCGATAGGAAACCCTTTACCCTCTGTCCGGAACCCATCCCTCGACAGCCAAAACTTCTTAACGAATGTTCTCTTAAGAGCCGCCAAAAGAGAGTATGAAAACAATAAACGGGACAAAGGTTTTGAGACAAAACACTGAATTATTGGGCAAATTGTCGTATTTTTCGTAAATTTCTTTTCTATAAAATACGTTTACATTAACGATGAAAACTATTTATCAATTCATATGTTAGTCACAAATTAGCACCAATTGTGTGAACAATTTTAATGTAAATACCGTAAATGAATTTTGAAACCAATATAATTACGGTTTGTTTATTTCATATTGTATATAAAAATCAAACAAAATTTTCCCTAATGATTTACCGGAAATACAATACCGTATAATAAAAAATAGATTAAACAATTGAAATCATAAAATTTGTGAATCGTTATAACAAATGCCATTTAATTGAAATCTTTATTGCATTGAATGAGAACTTTGATGGCATTGTTATCCATTTCTATCATCTTTTTGAACGCATCCAACGACTGCTCCAATGGATACTTATGAGTGACCAATGGTTTCAGGTTTACTTTTCCCGTCTCTAACAGGTATATAGCCATCGGATAACTGTTTGAACACCGGATAATAATTGAAAATCAATAAAAACATAATTTTATTCATCAATAATGGCTACCAGTTCCTGAAACGACACACTCCTATGATGTCCACCTCCCGGAGCGATGCGTTTACTAACGGAGCTTTTACTTCGAGCGGTCCCAAGCCTACCAGTGCTACTTTGCCACCATTATTAGTCGAGTATATAGCTATCTTAGTGCTTCCCTCATTGCCGGTGCACTCGAACGTAATGTTGGCTCCCTGTCCATCGCCACCCAATGCCGCCTTTATTTTGGCAACATATGAGTCCACATCGAAAGTCTTGAGATTGATATGTATTGTCTCATCGGCGCCCATCTGTTTGGCCACATTTAGCCGAAACTCATTTATATCTATATGTTTTTAAATTTTAAATTTATTAAATAGTCAGAGGAGTGTGTGAGTGTGTGTGTGTGTGTGAGAGAGAGAGAGAGAGAGAGAGAGAGAGGAGAGTTAATAATACCTGTCATAACAACACGAGCGGCACCGAAAGCCTTAGCGGCGGCCAAACACATCATTCCCATAGTGCCGGCCCCACACACGAGCACTGTCTGACCCAAAGTGAGATTCACTCGTCTGACGGCGTGTACGGCCACCGCCAAGGGCTCAACCATCGCCCCCTCCTCCCACGACACGTTATCAGGCAGTCTGTTAACAATATTAATTTAAGATAATGTCCATTGGATATGTCAGGGTAATAAATGTGTGCTCAATAATATCTATATTAATCCTATAACATTGTTTAAAATATTTTCTTTACTGGTAAAATGCAACTGGTAATTGCAGAATATTCTGT